ATTTTACTCTTGGTAAATGGTGAAGATTTAAAATCAACTCCATGGGATGAGACAGCCTTAAGTAAAACCTTCCATTCTAAATTTTATCAGGCAAAATTTAGAACTATAAGGAGTAATTCAAAGTGGAAAAAGATAACACATGTATCTCAGAAACCATGAATTCAAAGAATTGGGTGAAGGATGCAATAAACCCAACATTGGCCTTAGGCTAATACATCAATTATATATGCACCCAGATGAGGGAAATAAAATTTATTTTCAGGCATTTGTAGAAATTTGCACAAATATGAATAAAAGCAAAAATAAAGTTTAAAGTTTCCCCAAATCTATCATGCAAGAGTCACAAACAACAAAAAAAGTAATATAATATTAGGAAAATAAATGTCAAAAAGCACACTAACCCAAATATCTCAAAAAATAAATTCACAATTTTGAATAATTTTTAGGAAAAAGTGGAAATAAAATGTAAATTAAAAAATTTTTGTAAAAAAGGAAAACATAATAAACCACACTGCAATTCACACCTGAGTGTTTCAGCTAAAGCAGTAACAAAAGGGAGATATATAGCACCAACTGCATTTATAAGAACACTACCAGGCCTGAAAAAAATGAATTAAGATTTCATTGCAAGAAGGTAGAAAAAGAACAAGAAAATAAAACACTCTAAATAGAAGAAAATAATAATTATTAAACAAAATAATAAAACAAAAAACTTCATGGATTCAATCAACAGTTACATAATTTTTTTAAATAATAAAAAAGACAAAACTAACCAGTGTGATTTTATTTTCAAAGAGAATGAAGATGTGAATAAACAACATCAGCAATGAAAAATGGGTAACTAATTATTAAGTAACTTACCAGTTAAGATTAAATACCATACATTAGACCCAGCAATCCCACTTTTGGGTGTACATCCAAAAGAAACTAAATCAGTATTTTGAAGAGATTTTTTTCACTCCCATGTTCATTGCAACACAATTCACAATAGCCAACATACAGAAACAACCTAAATGTTTATCAATGGATGAATGGCTAAAGAAAATGTAGTGTGTGTGTATATAATGGAATATTATTCAGCCATAAAAAAGAAGGAGATCCTGCCAGCTGTGACAATATGGATGAACCTGGAATAGTTAATGCTAAATGAAATAATATAGACACAGAAAGATAAATACTGTATGTACTTAACCATATGTGGAATCTAAACAAAACCAAACCAAAGTCAAACTCATAGAAACAGTAGAATGGTGATCACCACAGACTAGATAGGGGGGAAAATGGGAGATGCTAATCAAAGAAAGGGTCAAACTTTCAGTTATAAGATGAATAAGTACTCGTGCTCACTTTGGCAGCACATATACTAAAATTGGATGAGTACAGAGAACATAAGTGTGACCCCTGTGCAAAGATGACATGCAAATTCATGAAGTGTTCCATATCTTTTCACTTTCTTACACCATACACAAAAATAAATTCAAAATGGATGAAAGACCTATATGTGAGATCATAAACCATCAAAATCCTCAAGGAGAACATAGGCAGTAACCTCCTTGACATTAGCCACAGCAACTTCTTACTAGATATGTCTCTGGAGGCAAGGGAAATAAAAGCAAAAATCAACTATTGGAACTTCATCAAGATAAAAAGCTTCTGCACAGCAAAGAAAACAATCAACAAATAAAAGGCAACCTTCAGAATGAGAGAAGTTATTTGCAAGTGACATATCGGATAAAGGATTAGTATCCAAAATCCATAAAGAACTTACCAAACTCAACATCCATAAAACAAATAATCCAGTGAAGAAATGGGCAGAAGACATGGATAGACATTTTTCCATAGAAGACATACATGTGGCTAACAGACATGTGAAAAGATGCTCAACATCATTCATCATCAGGGAAATACAAATCAAAACTACAATGAGATATCACGTCAGAAAGGACAGGAAATAACAAATGTCGGCAAGGATAGGGAGAAAAGGGAACCCTCTTACTGCTGGTGGGAATGCAAACTGGTGCAGCCACTCTGGAAAATAGTACGGAGGTTCCTCAAAAAGTTAAAAATAGAAATATACCCCACGGGACACATGTACCTCAATGTTTATACCAGCATCATCAACAATAGCCGAATTATGGAAAGAGCCCAATGCCCATCAATTGATGAATACACACACACACACACACACACACACACATCAAAAAGAATGAAATCTTGCCATTTGCAACAACATGGATGGAGCTAGAATGTATTATAGAAGCAAAATAAGTCAGAGAAAGCTGAATATCATATGATTTCACTCATGTGGAATTTAAGAAATGAAACAATTAACATAGGGGGAAAAAGAGAGAGAGAGGGAGAGAGAGAGGCAAATCATAAAACATAGTCAACTATAGAGAACAGACTGAGGGTTGCTGGAGGGGGGATGAGTTAAATAGGTGATGGGTATTAAAGAAGGCACTAATTGTGATGAGCACTGGGTGTTATACGTAAGTGATGAATCACTGAATTCTACCCTTAAAAGTAATATTACACTATATGTCAAATAACTGGAATTTAAATAAAAACTTGAAATGAAACAAAAAAAGATAAGTAAGTTCTGGGACCTAATGTACAACATAGTGACTGTACTTAATAAACTGTATACTAGACTTAAAATTTGCTAAGAATAGAGCCTAAGCATTCTCACTATGCACATGCAGAAATAAAGGTAACTATATAAGGTGAACAATATGTTAATTAATTTGATTAAGTGGTAATCATTTCATAATATATACATATATCAAGTAATCACATTTTATACTTTAAACATATACAATTTATTCATATTTATGCCTAAATAAAGCTGGAAGAAAAGACTAAATAAAGGTAAACAAAAGACAGTGATCAACATAATAGAAACACATATGAAAATCTAGATAACATGAAAAAATTCTAGGGAAATATAAACCAGCAAAAGTGGCCTATCATGAAAAAAAATCATAAAATCGAAGAAAGAGTAGTTAAATTTTTAGAACCACAAAGATATCAGGACCTACTAAATTTTTTAAGCCATTTTGAATTGTACAAAAATATAAAAACTGTTCTGATATATAGAACAGAAAATAGACCATTTTTAATTTTCTGAGCTTAGTAATATCTGGGGCCCCATGACAGAAAAGTACAAGAAAGCAAAAACATGTATTAATTACACTTATAAACACAGAAGCAAAATTCAAAGAGTATCAGCAAATCACAATCAACACTTCACTATAATGACCTCATGACCAATAGTTTAATCACAAAATTGCAAGGGCAGCACAATTTAAGAAAATTTACCAACAAAGTTGTCACCAAAATAATCTATCTAAATGAGAAAAAACATAATCAAGTTAATATGTATCCATACAATATCTAGAAATCATTCATGATAAAAAAAACTCTTGGCAAATAGCTTTCATAAATGTATCTACCAGATATGTATAACAAATACCTGTACAGCATAAGATGTAAAGTCTAAAATAATTTACATTAAATTCAGAAATTAAATAAGTCATCTCTTATCACCACTATTAATCAAAATTGTCCTAAAGGTTCTAGCCACTGAAAAAGATAAGAGGAAAAAATAAACAGAGTATATATGCAGAAGTTGGAAGATCTGAAGTAAAATATTTTCAGCAGATATGATCATCTATATAATCAATACAAGATAACCAGCCAACAAACAAGTAAAACTAAAGTGGAAATTTCACAGTGCCCAAATACAAGATCAACACAGAAAACACAATTAATAGCTACTCTGTATAGCAACAATGAGACATTAAAAAAAAAAAAAAAAAAACTAATTCAAGACTATGAAATTTGGAACGCATACATTTGGATGGATTTGAATCAAGCTGGAAACTACGAACTTTAAAATTACCTGAAGTCACGTTTGGGAAACAAAACCTCCTTTCCTGTCTGCAATCTAAGGAAGCCAGCCCTTCCTCCTAAATAAATAAATAAATAAATAATAACGCTACTTCCAGGCAGGGCTTTTGCCCCGATGCAGCGAGCGTCCTTTTTGGTTCTGGTTCGTCTGAGAAACCCAGCTGGAAACTCTAGGCAGAGGCTGTTTCACGACTGTTATTTGCACAACCGAACAGAAGCCATTTTTGACATTAGGGACTACCTCTGTGCTTTATAGGAGACCTAGCTTTAGTTTTGTGTGGTGTTCTTTTGTGTGAAGATTTGGTGTCCCTGAGCGTGGCATAGACAATCTTACCCCTCGTGTTTACTCACACCCGCTAAGGCTTGTCCGCTGAAGTGCACCTGCTGAGGTGCACCCTCTTGGGGCCTTGATACTGTAGCAATGGCAGAGGCTGCCACAGAGACAGATCGCAACATTGTAACCTTTGAGGATGTGTGCATATACTTCTCCTGAGAGGAGTGGGACCTACTCGATGAGGCTCAGAAATGCCTATACTGTCATGTGGTTCTGGAGAACTTCCTACTGGTGACCTCACTGGGACTTACAATTTCCAGATACCATTTAATTCCCCAACCACAGCCGGCATGGAAGCCCCCAGTTCCTGAAAATACAGCCGTGGCTCCAGCCGAGGCAGGGATGGTCCAGGAGAGCCCTGACCCCTGTCAAAGAACAGAGAATAAAGATGCATCTTCTGGGCAAGGTGTTTTTATACAACAGTCACAGGTGAGAACTCTCACAGTGGATACTTACAACCAAAAGAGCCACCCATATGACATGTGTGACCCAATTTTGAAAGATATCTTGTGCCTGGCTGGCCAGCAGGGAATATCTTATGAGCAGGAGGCATACCCATGTAAGTCATATGGAAGAACCTTCTGGGTCACTGTAAATACTGACCAAATCCTGAGGCCACAGAGTGGAGAGGCATTCCCTAGAATGGAAAAAGACCAGATCTTCTCTGTGAAGAGGTGCAGAAGTCACATGTCAGAGGCCTTCACTTACAGGGAAGATGGGGAGTACTCCTTGGCCAGCTCTGGATGTGTCTAGCACCATGTCTTTCAAGACGAGACACAGCTATGCATTAGCACTAAGTGTGAAGAAGCCCTTCACACTGGACAAAATGATTGCAAGTGCAGTGAGTGTGGGGAAGCTTTCAACGACAAAGACAAATGTGTTCAACACCAGAAAACCCACACTAGAGAAAAGCTTCATGAGTGCAATGACTGTGAGAACGATTTTGTCTACAACTCCAGCCTCCAAGCACACCAGAGAGCTCACATGGGATCAGCGCCTAATGACTGTGCTGAATGTGGTAAATCTTTTATCAGAAAATCCCATCTTGTTCAGCACCAGAGAATTCACACCGGATCAAAACCTTTTGAGTGCGGTGAATGTGGGAAGGCCTTTGGCCGCAAAGACACCCTTATTCAGCACCAGAAAATTCAACAGGGGAGAAAGGTCTTTCACATGCAGCAGATGTGGGAAAGCCTTTCTCCGAAAAGACACACTTGCTGAGCACCAGAAAAGCCACACTGGGGAAAAATCTTATAAGTGCGATGGATGTGGGAAATTCTTTAGTCACAGTTCCTACATTAAAGTACATAAGAGAATTCACAGTGGACAAAGGCCCTATGTGTGCAGTGAATGTGGGAAAGCCTACATCAGTCATCCCCACCTTATTCAACACCAGAAAGTTCACACTACAGCAAGGCTTATGGGTGAAGTGAATGTGGAAAGTTCTTTGCTGAGAATTCCAGCCTCATTATACACCAGAGACATAACACCAGAGCAAAGGCTTATGTGTTCAGCCAATCTGGGAGCATCTACAGAAAACATTCCCACCTGGCTTGGCACATAAAAGTTCATACCAAAGAAAGGCCTCATGTGTGTATGAGTTTTCGTGATCCTTTAGCTACATCTTTCAAGTTCACTTAGCACCAGAAACTTCACACTAAAGAGAGACCTTAAGAGATAAGGGAACATGCTTTCTCCTTGCTCAATACAGCATGACTCAAAGTAGCCTTTGAGATGAAGTTGACAACCTGAAGTTGAACTTTGTATATGTAGATATCCATTCTGGGAAGAGAACTACAGGTTCCAGGTATGTGGAAAGGTTTCAGGAGCTACTTTTACAGCAGTCAGGGACCCACACTATGTGTCTGTTACCCCAGTGTACTCCGGTAAAGCACACCTCCACCCTCTCTTCTATTTCCTGGAGGGACTCATAAGTGATATGAATCCACGTAAGGATCCTCATTTCCTACCCATGGATGGTTTCAATTTGGACATAATCCAGCACCTGTCAGAAAGATCTGAGCTGGAATCTACTGCAGTTTTCCAGAGGTTTTTGTTTTCCATGGACAGTATTGACTCTACATGAGATAGCTGAGATGGATTTCCCCAGCCTCCAAATCACCCAGCCTTGGAACTGCCTGCCCCACAGTGATCTGATTTATGCAATGAAACAGACTTATTGTTAAAGCCTTTACTCTGTTCCGTTCACTGTGTGGGGTTGATTGAGAAAAGAAATGGGCTTTCAAGAAACGTCATGACTCACTGAGCCCATTTCTTCCCTTCACACCTGTATATAAGGGTGTTGATTGCTTTCCACAATCTGAAAGAAAACTAGGACTGTGAGATAAATAGAGTTGTTCTGTCTAATATGGTGGGCACTGGTCACATATAACTACTGGGCATTTGAAATGTGGCTGGTCGGAGCTGAGATATACTATAACTATAAAATTCACACTGGATTTCTAAAATATAATATGAAAAAAAGAGAGAGTGAGAAAGAATGTAAAACATCTTACAAGCTTTATATTGACCATATGTTAAATGATAATGTTTGGGGTACATTTGGCTAAATATAATATGTCACTAAACTGTTTTTTAAAAAGAGAGCAAGATATGGGCTTTGCCAGCTCAAAGAGGAGAACACATTTTATGAGGGCCCCAAACTTTATGTGTATCAGAGATGGCAAAATGGCAGAGAACAGATCTCAGTCTAATTTGGCCTAATTGGCAATGCTGCGTAAGCCTTATTAGGAAAAACTGTTTTCAGCCTTGTGGGAGTAATCTTATGTCCTAGATGTCAGGATCTCCTATGAGCCCTAAGCTCACCCTGATGAAGGGGTAAGTGGTATGACAACCTCCAGTGCTTTCGGGAACAGCATGACTTAAGTTCCTTTTGCCTAGGGATGTGTCACATTCCCCAACACTGTTGAGGTACAGCTGTCTCCAGAGACCTACCCAGAAGTTACAGCCCCTGTGAAGTACAAAATACAGTAGGCAGATAAGACCTTCAGGGGTTAAGTGGGAAACAGAATTGATATATTTCTTGTTCTGATGCATAGAATATTGTCATTTTTCCTGACATTCAAATTTATTAAGGGTAAAGATACAATTTTTGTTTTACTACTTTCCAAAATTTTAAGCATTAACATTTAGTAATGCTAAGTCTGGCAAATATTGTTTTATTTAGATATCCTTTTTAAATAATGTTTATTTACTTATTTTTCCTAGAGAGAGAGATAAGCACAAGTAGGGGAGGAACAGAGAGAGAAAGAGACATGTTCCAAAGTGGGCTCCAACGTCTGAGTTCAGGAACTGTGAGATCATGACCTGAGCTGAAGTCAGACGCTCAACCAACTGAGCCACCCAGGTGCCACTAGATATCCTAAAATAGGTTTGATTATAATTTATTTAGAGAAGGTTTGATTATCATTTATTTAGAGAAAGCAAACCTTTCAAAAATTAAATTGAATAAATAAAGTATAGCATTAAGATTAAAAAACATAATATAGAAACACTATAGAGAAACATTAATTAGGGAATGGTAGAGTTTGTGGCAGGTTAGAGGTTATGTATCTACTCTGAAGGGCGTACACAAATTTCATGTGACTGTGTCTCTGGGTTAAAGGTGTACAGAAATCCTTAGTACCTACAGATCTCTTTATCTCCTCTGACAGAGGTCAGTGTCAGAGCAAATAATCAAAAGGTTTTCTCGATTCTTATACTCCCTCAGCTGTAGACCTTAGACATCACTGCACATACAGGTACACCAGTGCAGGAAAGAGAGATCCTACAGTCTCAGGTGGGTCTTGTGACAGAGCCAGTGTTTGGGTGGACATGGTATTAATTGTTCTCTAGTTTTTGCTGTCACTGAGGCAGGGCTGACCCTACCAAGACATGAGAAGTGGGAAATAGTTGAGTCAATATAGGGTTGGTTGATTTTCTAAGAGAAATGGGAGATCCAGATTTTTATGTGGAAGCATCTTATCTTTTTTTTTTTTTCAACATTTTTTATTTATTTTTGGGACAGAGAGAGACAGAGCATGAACGGGGGAGGGGCAGAGAGAGAGGGAGACACAGAATCGGAAACAGGCTCCAGGCTCTGAGCCATCAGCCCAGAGCCCGACGCGGGGCTCAAACTCACGGACCGCGAGATCGTGACCTGGCTGAAGTCGGACGCTTAACCGACTGCGCCACCCCGGCGCCCCAGAAGCATCTTATCTCTTAATAGCTGTATTGGTGTATAATTGGAATATAATAAACTGCACACATTTAAATTGTAAAATTTGATGAATTTTGACATATGTGTACACCTGTAATACCATCACCATAATTAAAGTAATGAGCATATCATTACCCCCAAAAGTTTTCTCCTGCCCCTTGATAATCTCTTCCTCTTACCCCTCCCTAATCCCTCATTCTCATTCGTCCATTGATTTGTTTTATTTCACAGTATAGTTTAATTGGCACTTTCTGGAATTTTATACAATAATTAATATAATAATAATATAATAATATATATTAAATAATAAAGCTTTTTACCTTCTTTCAGTAAGCATAATTGTTTACAGATTAATATTTATTTATTTATTTATTTATTTATTTTTGCTGAGTAATACTTCGCTGTGTATGGTTGTAATACACTTGTTCACCCATCAGTTGTTGACAGACATTAAAGTTGTTTCCAGTTTCTGATTATTAAAAATAAAGTTTGTTTGAAAGAAAAAAAAAGAGTCTGTAATGAATTTACAAAGTCAGTTGCCTTGCAAAAAGAAAGGCAACTCGTCAAGAACAAACCTCTCCGCTCATATTGCCCATGAAGAAGCAGATTCTGGCATGATCCAGGGAGGAATTTCAAGATGTGGGGAGGAGATAGCACTTATACCCAATGTAATTGCAAATTCTTGCTAATTTGTGTAAGCAAGAAATCAGGACGTATAATGGGAATGGATTTTAAGTTTGCTAGACCAAGAGGAATAGAACATTAGGTTAAATGAGGTAAAATTGATCAAGATAGTTAAACTTACCTGAGATTTGGCATTTAATGGGCAAAGTGAAGCAGCTAGAAGCAGATCTAATAGTTCGCTAAAGCCCAGACTGAGTGGTGGCCTACATGAAAGAGTGCAAATGCCCCAGAATTTCCCTGCAACAACTTTTCTGTATCTCAGAGGTATGACTCAGGCAAATTACATTTCCAAGTTTTTTGTTCTTTGGCTTGCATGTAGGTTTTAGACAGTGGGAGGCACTTAAGGGAGACTGGACGGCAGAAGGTAAGGGGAATCCAGATTTCTTCTCCTCCCTCTATGCATCAGCTGGCTTCTCTGGCAATGTCTGCATCTCCTTCTTTGTTCCAGTAACCCTTCCAAACAGTCCTGCCATGGCTCCAGCATTGCCAAGTGATCTTGAGCCCTAGACACCAGTAACACCACCCTAGGTTTCTCCCTCTAACCTAGAGGTGGTGATTATTTCCTGCCTGATACTAATGTCTGTGTTGCCCCGCCTCCCCTCAGTTTTGGGATCCCAATGCATCTATCAACTGACTAGCTGATTTCCTGAAGTAAATTCCTTCTGTTTAAATACTTATTTAAAGTATTTTTTGTTAAGTCCTGTTTTTTCTAGTTATAGTCTTTTTTTTCAATGTTCATTTATTTTATTTTAGAGAGAGACATAGCAGGGAAGGAACAGAGAGAGAGGGAGAGAAAGAATCCCAAGCAGGCTCCTTGCTGCCAGCACAAAGCCCAACACGGGGCTTGATCTCACAAACCCTGAGATCATGAACTGATCAAGAGTCGGACGCTTAACTGACAGAGCTACCCGGGTGCCCCTCTAGTTATATTCTAACTAGTGAACAATTATGCTGAAAGAATGTGAGAAGAAAGGTGTGTGAGTGAGAAATATGGGAGATAAACATTTTTAGTCATGGTTTCTGCAGAAAATAGATTATTCAAAAGATAGTTGAAGAAAATTTAATGAAAGGGCTATTTATAGATTTGAGAAAAAGATTAAAGAACTCAATAGAATGGTGATGCACCCAGAGACTAACAATAGTGTGAAGCTATTCCCAGCCTTACAAAAGAAGGCAAGAGAGAAACCATGAATGTGGGAACTGACAAAATCTATAATTATGGGAAAGGGCCCCCGACAGGAGTTGTGGCCATAGGTAGGGGAACACAGCCACTATTAAACTGTTATCTGGCAAGGAAGGATCATCTGGAAGTGGGAACAGACACATGACCTCCCTCTGCTCCTGACCTTACTTAGATCCTTTTCCAATACCTTTCATTGGCAAAATGCAATTATAAGCCAAAGCCCAAGGGGGCTCTGGTGATTCAGTCCATAGTGGTCATCCTGTCAGCACATAGAACAGAGCAGAGAGAGACAGAGATTGGATCTAGAAAAACAAAAGAGATTGACCCGCATAACCAACTAATGAGTTGAAAGTTGAGAGTACCTGCTAAAACTGATAAATCAAGAAACAGCTGTAAAAGTATGTTTCAAGGGAAAAACACAGTTTCCTCACATACAACATTTCTGATACTGGGTGTGCGGGGTTTTTCCCCACATTGG